CCAGCCAGAGGATTTGAACATGGACAGGACAAACAAGGGAAGATCTTTTGCCCAGAAAAAAATCTTTTTTTATGGGCATTAAGCCACCCCTGAAACTAAATTTATCATTTCAGGAGCATCATAATATTCAAGTCATATATGAGTAGCCTTAAAATCACACCAAAGGCTAAGCAGCTTGAGGAAATTCTTCCACCTCTTCTTCCACCTCATAGTTTTGTTTTTTGTTTTTTTTCCATTTTTAAAACTGGTGAACACCTTCAACTTCTTTGTACTTATTTGCAAGAACTTGTGCAAACGTGTGGGAGTGTATGAGTATAATGTGTGTGTGTTTTTAACCTCTGAGCATACCTGTGGAATTGATTGAAATAAAAAAGCAAAGCTCTGGAATTTTCTTAAAAAATAAATTCATGAGGTGTGCCTGAGTAACACAGTTGGTTAAGTGTCCAACTCAGTTTTGGCTCACGTCATGGGATCAAGCCCCAAGTGGACTCCATGCTCAGTGTGGAGTCTGTATGAGATTCTCCCTCCCTCTACCCCTCCCCTTGTGTGGGCACTCTCCGTCTCAAATAAATAAATAATTCTTTTTAAAAAATGATAAGAAAATAAATTCATGAGCATGTAATAAGTGAGGAATCAGAAACAAAGTATTAAAAAATATTGTGTAATACCAGGATGACTATACTGACCAAGGTTCAAAGAAGAAAGTTTCTTTACACTGAAAGATGTTTTCCTTTATACTTTCTGTACCACTAAATCCTGTTAACTTAAGCTTTATATCAGGTTAAGAAGTATCCAGTAATCAAGAATTAGGCACCAAGTTCGAAGCGGAGACGGAAAAAAAGTAACTTAATGTAATCAATGATCATCTTCAAAAGAAAGGAAAAGAGGGGAAGGACACTATAAAAGACTTGCTCAAACATGTGGAGATGTGGCAGCGTGGAGATGACAATCATTAATGAAATGTTAGTTCATTAAACAATTTATACTATAAAGTAGTAACTATAAGGAGAAAAAACAATAAAATTAGCATATAATAAAGTTATCAATGTGCATTGTCATTACTGATAAAAGGGAAAAATTAAACAACAATTTCAACATGCTGTGCATATCAGGAGTAACTGGCTCATAGTTTGCTGAGGACATGTCAGTTGTTTTGTAGTCCAATAAAAAAAAAATTAAAATTAATGGTAAAGAAAGTAAAAAGGAGAATCTAACCCCTGCAGAAAAATGCTCTATGGAATATTTAGCACCTCTAAACACGAAGATCACACAAATTCTAAGACTGACAGAATCCTAAGATGTTATAATTCTTTGTATTTTTTTAAATGGAACTTTTTCCTTTAAGATGGATATCTGCTTACATTATTTTTAACTGTATCTCGATAGGAAGACTCCAAGAAGTTCTGTGTAATCAATTTTAGCCTAAAATGATTAGAAAGTCTCTATATTTGATTTATGTATCTTTCATTTATTTTAGAACAAAACGTTTATTTTTTCTTTGAAATAAATTAGTCCCATAGTATTCAAAATGTTATAATCCTCAGTTTTTTTGACTTGGTGTAAACAAAACTACCTATTATCAGTGACTATGTATCTTCAAGACATATTTCCTCTGGGTCCAAATGATACAAATTGTCAATAAATATTACATGTAAGTAATATTAATATTTTGCAACATATAAAAATTAATTTATCTGTATCACCACTGAGGAGTCAAATTATTTATAATTAAAATACATTTCACCTAGGAGCAAATACCTGGTTTTTAATAAACTCAAGAGATTAAAAAGTAACAAAATAGATTAGAGTGAGAGGATAGTCTAAATTTCATTGTATTTTTGTGTGTGTTTATTAGTCATATTATGGCAAAGAAAGGAGGGAGAAACAAATATATTTCACTGTCTTCAGACCAATCCTAGAGCAGACTTTTTTTCAATAATTTGTCAGTACTCATAATAATTTCCCAAATACTGTTAGGTTTTGGCTACATTTCTTCATTTAATTTTTCTCTTATTTGATACATCTTTATTGAGTTAATTCAGGAACTGTAGGTACTATGAGATAGGCACACTTTTCTTAGTCCAAACAAAAACTTCAAAGCTCATTGCCTTGAACGAGATAGAAAAAGACCTTCAAGAATCATTTCATTTAGGTTTTGAGTAAATATATTTATTTAAAGCAACATAAAATAACTTATCCATGAAAAATAAAATAAGATGGCCAGAGATGTTTTTATCATAAGACAAATACCCCCTGAAATTCAAGAATGTGCATTCAACAAAATGAAGTAATGATAATTTCTCATGCAAAATATATGCCGGTAAAAAAATATAAATCTCAGATTTTGAGGGGTAAGATTTGCTTTCCTTTAAATTGAAGATTCCTAGTATTTGCATAGTAAGCTGTGTGCTATAAAATTAAATTCAGAAAAAAATTTAATATGAATAAACAATGTACAAATTAACAAGGTATTGTTATTTTTTAAAAGTAATATACTTCTACAAGACAATACATTCAAAATTTTATCTTACCAAGTCTCAGATTTAGTTATGCTGAAAATTAAGCTTTGGTTGTACCTTTGAATGTAGATGTAATTCTAGTATAACTGAGAAATTATACTAAAATTTAATTATTCTTACACAGCAAATCCAGGTACTTATAGAATTCATGTGGTACATGTGTGTACACACACACACTAACGCATTACTACCCTTCAGTTACCAAGTAATAGGTTAATTGAACCTTCTCTCAAACACTTTGTCTAATGCTACAGATGCAACAAAGTAAATTGTTTTTAAGTCAATTTTGTGTATATATTGGGGAAGAAAAAATTTTGAGAACAAGGGCTGATTCACATACAAGTAAGCAAGAATCCATAGCTGAATGTCATCAGTAAATTCACATTAACAATATGTAGGTTAAATAAATACAGTGTGGCTAAGTATATAATAAGATACATTCTATACTTGATTTTTCCTTTAATAAACCCTTAAACACACAAATTTATTGGATTCTAGATCTCAGATCTTTCCTCCCATTTTATTGACTTCCTCTAAGTGTGGACCTAAGAAATACAGAATCTTCTTATGATCCCCATGTCCCTAACTATAACTAATACTCCTGGATTTGGAAAGGAAGAAGCCAACTAATATCTCAGTCAGAAGTAAAGAAATGATATTACAAACCAACTCTGAGACTGTATCATAGTTATCTACACTTTTGAGGGAGAAAAGACTCATATCATGTGGTAGTTTTCTTAATAGTTACCATACACTCAACTTAATTATCCTATTTAAATATGAGCAAAGTTTTGGGGCACCTGGGTGGCTCAGTCGTTAAGTGTCTGCCTTTGGCTCAGGTCATGATACCAGAGTCCTGGGATTGAGCCCCACATCAGGCTCCTTGCTAGTTGGGAAGCCTGCTTCTCCCTCTCCCACTCCCCCTGCTTGTGTTCCCTCTCTCACTGTCTCTCTCTCTGTCAAATAAATAAATAAAATCTTTAAAAATATATACTAAAAAATAAATAAATATGAGCAAAATTTTTATGACAAAATTTTTATCTTCCAGGAAAGAGGGACATAATCAGAGGAGTCTTCCCAGGTGATATCAGAGAGACAAGAACTGTAGGTCACCAGGTAGCCAGGCTTTTGGTCAAATAGGGCCAGTTGTCCTCACAAAATCACAAACTGCTTCCCACCTAGAAATTCTAAAAATGCATCACTGCTAGTCTAACATTAAAAGTAAGCGATGGATTTCTGTATACACACTTAAGAAAATTTTGAACATTCTTAAATAAACAGGAACTAGAAAAAAAGGAATTTTCAGATACAAAAAGAAAGGATGTTCAAAGGAATATTTTCAACAAGGTTTTATGAAAATAAATTACTGTAATTTAAGGATATAGTCATAAATCTTTTCAGAATACAATATGCAGTATATTGAAAAGTGCCCAATTCTGTATATTTATGAGTCGAAATGTGCTGAAGAGTCAAAAGTAAATAAGTAGAACAGGAACAAAATCAATATGAATATTGATTTTCTGACTTTTTCTGGACCCTACATTACAACTTCACATATTTATGCAAGTCTAAATATTTCCATGAAGACTTTCATCAAGTTTTCTGTAATAGTCTAACACCAAAACATTTTCAAATGGACAGCTCTAATTACTAAATAGCGCTTCTAACAATGGCCTGGATAAAAAATGGAGATATGTTTGTTGCAGGAACAGTGCATTCTTATGATTTGATTTATTTACTTATTGTTGTTCTAAATTTTTTTTTCTGAAGATTGATTATGCTCAACTCAATATCAGGAAATACTTTCTACATAAGTTGTTGTTGGGTCTCTCTACCTCTTTTATTTTTGTTCAAAATGAAAAATGTAGATGTGTAACACACATGTTAATGTATCTATTGATACAATATTGAGTACAATTCACTTTAAATCAGTACATGCTCTGATTGATGTATTCAGATTGAAATCATTCAGGAGCTGAAAATAAAAGCAGTCATGGAAAAGGGTTGGTTATTTCTCAGAATGGTGGTTTGCCAGAGTATCTGTTTGGTATCCATCACCCTGTTAGGATAGAATGCTGGCTAAGTAGAATTATTAGTCCTATTCCTCTGAATCTACCAGGCACAGGCACAAGCCTTCCCAAACACTAAAATCGAAGCAGAAAACCATAAATGATTTTGAGGGAAAGAAATTCACATTTGAAAACTATATCATAAAAAATACGATTAAAGGCAGAATAAATAATAACAAGTTAATAATTAACTCTTGCGAAGAGAGCGTACCTGAAAAAGAGAAATTCTGTGCTTAAAAGTTAGCACTTAACATGGACAAGGTAAAGCTTAAAAATACATCAGACATTGAAGTTATCTACTGATACGCTGCTTGCCTGATTTGTTTTGGGATGTGCTTAACAGCCAAATGGTCAGATCAAGGTAAAGAAGAGATCAGCTGCAAAAGTTCAAAATCACAGCTTCCTTTCTTACCTTCCACTGAGGAGGAAGCCGAGAACCACTGCCAACAAAATGACTCCCACTGCCACAGACACAGCAATTATAGGGATCTGGCTTTGATCGCTGGATGCTTCAACTGCTGGTAGGAGACACAGGAAATGGAGCCCGTGGTTAAAGAGATCATATGCATTCAAATAAGAGCTGCTTAAGAGTCAGTAATCGATACGTGGTTTAAGCAATTCCCCCACACTTGGCTGAGATTTCCCCTTCATATCTCTTCTCAGTGGTGTGTAATTGAAAAGACATCTTTAGGAGACAATATTTACTCTCCAAATGGAAATTTGAAAGAATCACTAAGTCACTGATTATTTCTTTGTCATCATAAAAAATGAATGTAATCGTTTGCATAGTATTTATCTAGGCATCTTGGGTTTGCAAGATAAAATGCAACTTAGTCCTTGAGATCAAACACCTTCATCTGAATAAGAGGTGCTAAGTATATAAGATTTGATATTTTAGAGTTCACATGTGGCTGTTCGCTAGAAAAAAAAAATCTTGGTACTTCAGACAGGGTTTGTTTGTTTTTTGTTTTTTTTTTCCTCATAGACATAGCTTGAACGCCAAAATGTTCTGGCTATGATTTCAGTGAAGTTAATATAATATCACTTTTCCTAATATAAGTTTAAAAACTGTGATTTCAAGCAGAATATAATCAGTGAGTATGCTTTATGTGTAGGACTACGTTTTGAAAGATATCAAGGCACACATTTAGAACTTTGAGAAGTCTGCTAAGAGTAGGTTTATTTACATCATTTTTTTTAAATACCTGGATTTAGTTGAAATATCCTATATTTTAACAGTACAATTACCATAACAAGAGGAATATGGACATGAGTAGATAGTTGTACCTCAATAAGCATGGGGATATTAATTTTGTGCCAACAACTATGCATTATTAAAATAAGAAACTCATAGAGCAAAATAAATTTTACTAATGTTCTCAAAAACCACTCAATAAGATATATACCATGCTATTGTTTAACAATATAATCATTTTTGATAAATTCAGAGTAGTGCTAGCTCGCCTTCATAACAAATTTTAAGTTATCAAAAGTAATAACAACTATACTTTCCATGTTTTGTTTCTCATAACCCCTCACCAGATCTTGGCCCCATCAATAGTTTTGGACATACATATACTTCCCTTTCTATTATTGTCACCTCTCTTTTGATTCTTTCAAAACAAAATTGACTGACTCTGACACTTCTTGCACTTGAGCTACACTTTTAACCCTTTTCAGATCAGTCTTCAAAACCAATATCAACAATAGCTTGTTCATGTATGAGAAAGACTTATTGATAATCTAAATCTATGTTCTTACCCTCTCCCTTTTCTTGGATAATAACAGTTGTGGTTCAGTGGTTCTTTATCTTGATTTTTCTCTCCTATTATCTGATGCTGAAGTCTGTGATAGGGAGTTCAAAGCTGGTGAGCAGTATAAATGGGTAGGGCAAAGCTACTCCATTATCGCAAAGAGCCCAGACCCAAGATTTGCTTTTATAATCTCTAAACTCAGATTATTTATACCATTGCTTTTTCTTAATTCTTTAATTTTCTTTTTGGTAAGGGGCATGTTCCAAGAGAAAATCATGTAGACTTGGTCCGTATACATAATGTTATTTTTATTGGGCTCTAACTGCTGTTCCAATTATTTTGATTCTCTCTTATTAATTTCCTGACAAAATCATCCCCATAATGAGTCCTTCTCATTTTCTCAAAACACTAATTCATTACCACTTCTCATGTTTCAGAAATGTTAAACTTTATACATAAAAAAGAGTGATCAAGTCTGAACTCCATGGTTAAATCAAACTGTATGGGTTATACAGTTTTCCTTTGCTTTACCTAACTCCAAGGTTAGAATCCTTCCTGGCTCTTCTAATACCTGGATCCTTCAACAATCTCCTCCAGGAGAGAGTTTCATTCCCTTACAGGCTATTTCTCTGCTATCTACAAGCCTGAACACGTAATTCTCCTTAGGGGACACAGATCTTTATACCTAACCTTACTGATGTTGGTTCAACTTAAATTTGAAAACAGGTCCAGCATTTACTAGGTATATGGGCCAAAGCAAAGTACTTAACCTTATCAAGTTTCATTTCACTAATCTCCAAATAGGGATAATTTTCCTGGATCATTACAATTCTGTTTAGAGATGATATTTAGCATAGTGCTTCAATTATTGCCAGCCTTAAATAAATAGTAGATAATATTTCTACATATTGTTATCTGATCCTGCTTTGTTTATCACTCTTATTCTTTCTTATTTTTCAGCATCTTGACTAAGTTATCTAGAACCAGCCTCATTTTCTGATAACCAATGTAAATTCTCTCTGAAACTTCTCCTGTCTTTGAGTTCTATGTGTGATATTCTGGCTACATGCAATAAGTATTTCTCCATTTACCTTACCATGCACTATAAGGCATTTGACCTTGTTGAACATAAACTTCAACCTTGAGATTCTGCTCCTCTTGGTTTCTATGACATCAGATGATCTGTTTTCTCTTTTTCCCCCACTCTGAAGTACTACTTTGTCAGTTCTGTTGGCTTCACATTCTCTCCCCACATCTTATGCATGAACAATTTCTGATGAATGCTGGCTCTTAATCCTTCACACTTCCTTAGCTCTTCACTCTGTCTTTCTCCCTTCCTTCTTTCTTTTCTCCCTACCTCTCATGGATACTTCTTTGCATATGGCATCAGTTAACTATAAGCTGATGAGTCCCAAATTTATATTTCCAAGTCTTATTTCTCTTCAAAGCTTCACTCTATTAAAAAAAAAAAAAGACTGCTTTCTTTTTATTTGGATTGTGTTTTCATATAAAAACAACATGTTTAAAATCGGCCCTTATGGCACATCCAGCCCCAAGGGTATTAACAAAAACACATCAATAAATAAACATAACCATAAATCAAACCACGAACCAGACTAATTTGATCTCTTTTCTCCTGGTTTCTTTTAACTATCACTGAATTTTTCTTAATTCCCACTTGCTTATTAATTAATAAACATGTGCTCTGTTTCTTTTGTTTTTCCCCATGAATTATATTTTTTCATCTAACAGTCACCTATTTGATTCAAATCTGCTGGCATATGGTTCGTCGGCGTTTTAAGTGTCCTCTTTGCCTTCTGTGTACTCACATAAATATCCAAAAATATCACTTTGATCATGTTTCTCTGACCAAAAAGTTAACAAGTACTCACTACCTATGAAAAAAAAAATTCCCAAATTCTCCATCTAGCATTCAAAAGCCCTTGTAACAAAATTCTAACAAATCTTTCTGGTCTCAATGCGCCATTTTGGCACTCTGAGGTTTAGTTTTGGAGGAAGCAGGCATGATTAATCAGAAGTAGGGATAAAAATAGGACAATTTCAGACTAATCAAATATTAATTTTGAGAAAAAATATGGATGCCCCATATTCTCAAATGCTTCATTTTTAACAATTGACAAGATCTAATATAATTTAACAATATGTTAAAATATACATGGTATGGGTTAATATCTTGCAATAAAGTAACTTTTAATAGCATACCAAAAATTTTCAAATGCTTAAATTAAAACATTTTATGAAAATATTTTAGTAGTACCAAGTTACATATGTTCATATTTACATGTTTTTATCTACTGTTCACTTAAATCAGATCTTTTGTATAATAGACAATTAAATCAAGGGCCTATGAGGAAGAATTTAAATAGTACATTTTCATTTTTTAGAAAAATTTCAGCATTTTCTAATTTCCTTGATGGGCTTTGATTATTTTACTATTTCAAATGTACTAATTATTTTGTGAGCTATTTCTAATAAAAATAATTCATCAAGATTTTGTACTATTTATTCCTTTGTTTGTCCTGACAGCATCAGTAATATCCCCAATATATCAACTAACTTGAAAATATATAGAATTGATAAGGTACTGTCAATGCTCTCATACTTCTTCAAGGAAAAAAATATTATAAGCCCAGTATGATCCATGATTATTTTTTAATATATCATTAAGTTTTTTAATCTTTAAAGATATAAACCTCTAGTCACTCACATTTCCTTTTTTTTTTTTTTTGTATGTCATGTAGTTTTGGAAGAATTGCTGAGGAATATTTAGGGAATGCTTAAAAGCAAATTTGGGGCAACGTAACACACTACTATTAAAAGGATATTCGTTATAAACGTTAATTGTCTTTAGTAAACAATATTCCTTTTTCTTCACTTATTATATACTTAAATTATCCCTGGAAACTTTAAGGTAGCATACACTGAGAAATCACATTGATTACCTTATTTTGCTTCTCATACTCCTGATTGCAAACCCATATTACATAGATAGTCTCTACATTTTAGCTCTATATTTGAATAGTTAATGATGAAGCTGAAAAGATTTGTTAAAGCCAGATTATAAGGGTTTTTGAAGACCAGGCTAAGAATTTGGGATCTTTCTACCACAGCTGTAACTATCTGTTAATTTTCTTGATTAAGATAATTTGATCAAAGCTATAATTTTTGATATGTAATATGAGTACATAGGAGTTAGTGGGGATATTTAAAACAGCATGGCAGGCAAATATGCACATGAAAAGAGGTTGAACATCATTAACCATCGGGATTTCAAATTAAAACCATAATGAGATATCACTACCCACCTGTCCAAAATGACTAAAAGAAAAATATAGTGAGAACAGCAAATGCTGATGAAAATGTGGATAAACTGATCACTCATACATTGCTGGTGGGACTGTAAAATGGTATAGTCACTCTGGAAATGACTCTGTCATTTGTCAATTTCTTACAAAATTAAAAATAAAATTGCTGTATGATGTAGCAATTGTACTCTTGGGTATTTACCCCAGGGAAATGAAAACTTAGATCGATGAAAAAACATGTACATGAATATTCATAGCATGTTTTTTGGCAATAGCAAAAACTGGTATTAACCCAGATGTCCTTCAACAGGTGAATTTTTAAATAAACTGTGGTCCACACATAACATACTCAACAAAAAAAACTTGATATACATAACAATTTAGATGCATCTCCAGAGAATTAAGTCAATTCTAAACTGTCACATACTGTATGATTCCATGTATAGAACATTTCTGAAATATCATATTTTTTGAAATGGATGTTTAGAAATTAGTGGTTGTCAGTGATTAGTTATGGCACAGGAACTATTCCAAAAGGCAGTTGGTATAGTTATAAAAGGGCAACCCGAGGGATCTTTGTGATGTTGGCACTATTCAGCATCTTGACTTTTGTGGTAGATACACAAATCTATACAACTGACTAAATTGTATCCAACTTAATACACTCACCTGTTTCTATACACACACACAAAAAGGAGTAGAAAGAAATGTGAGTAAGATTGGTGGATTGCATCAATGTCAGTATTCTGAATGTGATATTATGCTATAGTTTTGCAAAATGTTACCATTGGGGGAAACTGAACAAATTGTACAAGAGTCCATTCTGCACTGTTACTTACAATTGCATGTAAAACTCAACTTATCTAAATAAAAATTTCATTAAAAAAACAGAATAGCATTATTCCAGCAATTGGGTTATACAGATTTGTAGGTAAGAATTGCATGAAAGGAAGTGATGCATTGGAGAAAAAAAATCATAAAAGAAACACAAAGGAGTTTGGTAAATCTTAGCAAGTGGGAGTTAAGAAAAATTCAGTGATAGTCTCAAAGTTACAGGACAATTTATGTTAAAAGAAACCAGAAAAAAAAGAATTAACTAGATTGGCTAGATGGTTTCATTCATGCTAAGTTTATTTGTCGGTGCATTTTTATCATTGCTGTTGGGAAAAAGGATGACATATGGGGCCAATTTTAAACATGTTATTTATATGCATAACAAAGTGGATAATAGGCAGTTATAAAATATAAACTAAAGCTAGAGAGAGAAAGACCACTCTGAGATTTTTCCATCCAAATCCTCGTGTTAAATAGCCTTTCTAAAATAAAGATTTTATATTCTTGTGCTTACTGTTTGCAGTTTGGTTTTAGGACTATATGAATGACATACAAGATAATAGAGATGAAAAAGAAAAGCTCTTCATAACAATTTTATGACCTACTTATAATATAAATTAAAATTTATAAATTTTAAAAATGAAACAAATCAATAACATCATGCATCATCATTATGAATTGAGTAACCAATTAGAAAACTCTTTTTAAAGTGTATGTTCAAGGTAATGATCTTCAGATAATTTTCTGTCCTAATATACCTGAATGATAAGATAGAATTTTCTTAGTATTGGTAACTCATTAAAGCCAGTATTCTTTTTTTTTTAATTTTATTATGTTATGTTAATCATCATACATTACATCATTAGTTTCTGATGTAGTGTTCCATGATTCATTGTTTGTGCATAACACCCAGTGCTCCATTCAGTATGTGCCCTCTTTAATACCCATCACCAGGCTAACCCATCCCCCCACCATCTCCCCTCTAGAACCCTCAGTTTGTTTCTCAGAGTCCATAGTCTCTATTCCTAACTGTCATGCACCAAATGAAAATACATACACGCACACATTTGACATTTCACACTACTCCTGTATGTTATTTTCTTCATAAATAAATATTAATAGTGTCAGTTTTTCATCTATAAATAAAAGCAAGCTATTGTTTTCTTCTAATCTTGCTTTTAATGTGTGCTTTAGGACAAGTAATCTAAATATTTTGTTTGATGCTAAAGAGAAAAATGTTTTATGCTACTTTATTTTAAAAATGGTACAAGAAATGTTTTCCAGAATATTTCTAGACCCTTCACCCAGAGATACTGCCAGAGATTTTGATTTTTCAAAATGATCAGATTGGTTGCTAAGAGCGCCATTTTCTTGCCAAACTTAATACTTAATGCATGCTCCCTGTAGAATTTTCATAGAAAGACTAAGCCTGATAACATTGTTCAATAAAACAAGTAAAAGTAAATGGCAATAATTCAATAAAGTATGGCAGCTGTGGAAAGAAAGTCTTTAAAAGCAGGTTTAAACATTTCTTAAGAATCTCTTGATTTTTCATCTCCCAGTAGACTAAATGTGATGAGGAGCAGGGACCTATGTGTTAACCCACTAACCTACCGTAATAGCATGACAGATGCTTCCTACCCGAAGGGGTCATGCCTGGGAGACAGAGAGGAGCAGGAGACTGACAGAATGCCCAGGGAGAGTATTGATCCACTTTTCTGGTAACCATTACAGAGACACGCGTTGACAGTAATTAAAATGACTTACACACTGGGATGGTTTCAAACTCAAATCTTCGACTGAAAACACCATAGCCTGCTGCTGTGCGTGCCCGAATTTGGAAGACATACACTGAAGCTGGTTTCAAGCCCTCTGCGGTTACAGTTGTCTCTTTAGACTTGATAATTGTATAGCTGGTTTCTTGGTCCTTGGATTACACATGTACATACAATAAAAAAGTCAACATATGAATTACTAATGACAACAAAACTTAGAATCATAAATCAGAAAATCAGAAACTAATAAACTTGCTATTAGTACAAATATAATCTTTTAGAAAAAAAAAAAAACCTATACATCCTAGGTGTGGTATCTATATAAAACCTAAAAGTGTTTCCTAGAACTCAAAGATGGTGGATAACATGTTCTCCAGTCACCCACCATACTTGCCTTTGGCACAAATAAATTTGTAAACTTTTAAAATATGACTTGCAGAAGATGAATTATTTTACAGACTCTATTTTAGTATTGGTATTTGTGAGTTTATTTTTCTCATAAACGTTTTATTGGAGCACATCTAACATGCTGCCTATTCACAGAGAATGATGGCAAGGTCTCATATATTGCCAGGTAAGACTTATGCCTTGTATCTCTGGTGAGTTTGACTTCTAATTATATTTAGGGCTTGGGAGAAGAATGAGGACTTTGCTGGAGAACTTTAATTTCAATTCATTAATTCTAAACAGAGATTACTAAAGAAAAACTAAAGAAATTTTTTTTTCTTTTTAAAAAGCTTTCTATTTTTTCACATTTTTGTGTTTGAGCTGGGTGAGTAGTGAATGGAGATGGAGTGAAAAAAATATCACTGTAAAGATTGTTTTGGAACCTGTTCCTATTTTGACTGCTACCAAAGTCTAGACTAACCACACATAACTTCTCCTTACCTCTGAGGTTACCACACTGAATCTTAGACCTACACACTGAATCTGAAACCTACAAAGATCTAAACACACAAAGTCCCTGTTCTGAACTTTCTCCTCCCTTGCATTTTTCTGTGTGAATTCTTGACTACACTTGCATTTCCTTAATGTGTCCCCACAATTATTACATTTCTGATAGATATTACAGGATGAATTGATAGGTAATGGTTAGAGATCTTTTCCCCCATTTTTAAGCATTGGTCTTTACTTACAGTATCTTGTTGATGACTGTAAACCATCATTTGCCAAATCATTTCATAAAATTTTATTTTACTAATAGAAACATGTATTGAGGTTTTTTTTAAAGATCTAATGGAATAACATGTAAAGGATTTTTTTTTCTGAAATGAGAAAAAAAATTGAAAACAAAAATATAACAATTACTTCTCAAACATCCCAATAGGGAACATGGTTATTATTTAATCTTCATAACACTATTAAAATGCAAAATAAATGCAAACCATGCTCCTTGTCCCTTGAAGTTTACAATCAATAGTAGCATACCATGCTGTGACTTTAGTGTGGACACAGAAAGCATGTGCTAAAATACAGCAAGTTCATTTTTACTTTTATCCTCAGTTTTCTTATCTGTAAAATTGGGATATTGGTGCCTGGATATCTTCACAGCGATGTTGTAAGAATGAAAAAAGTAATGCATGTGAAAACACTTAATAAACTAGAGAATACATGTTTTAATTGTCATAATTTTTATGTGAATTTTTTCTACTTTGACACATCAAAGTGAATTGCTAATCACATTCTATTCACCAATACAATCTAAAGTATACAACCTACCAAAAAAATTTTTAAAGCAGTTTTACCATTCTTCATTTAATACCGTCAAACATAGAGAATTATCTTAGGGTTAAGTTCATCCAAATTTCTATCTAAATAAGTATGTTCTAATTTCTAATGCAAATAGGTTTTCTGATTCACTCTACGCAAACAACTATTTTCTTAAAATTTTTTAATGCACAGATTAATTTAAGTGCCAGGTCTTTAAGGTGTTTAGGAAATATTACTAGATTTTTGCAAAGGATTTAAAGGAGGTCATTAAATCCTATAAAATTTTACCTAGTAATGTACTGATGTTCTGTGGCTGCTCAAGCTTAAGACTGAATATGCAAGACTTTCTCAATAAGATTGTACTTTTCACTTTGGCTATGACTGAAGCAGTAATTTCAGCAAGAAATGATAAAATATCTGTTTGTTATTATTTTCTCTTTCTTTAAAGAGAAGTTGGTTTAAAAATCTAGACAAAACTAAAGATTCTGGTATATTTGATATAACTATGATTTTTACATAAAATATTAACATAATGTAAAGTAAGAGATTTTTTGTTTGTTTTATAAAAGAGCACAGGAATATCAGGGTTAGAATTCAAGCCATCCTATTGTCTAAGAAGTGTGCAAATGTGGATACACAACTCAACCTCAGTTTTTTCTTCTTTAAAATGGGACAAAATTATTTATTAAGAGCATGGTGAGCAATAGAGATGGAGATAGAGATGATATACATAGCACCCAGCACAATCTCCACAACATAACCAGTTCTAGGTAAATTTGACTTGAGTCTGTATCATGATGGCAAATTTAATAAAAAGTTTGTTGTAAACTCCTAACTATTGAAGTCACAATTAATATGTCTTGTAAAATTATTAGAAGTTGACATTTTTGCCAAATCGGGGGGGGGGAACATAAGGAAACTGGCATGCTGCTCCTTGAAATAATGCATGACCTAATATCAATTGCACAAAATTATGCAACATTCTGATTTATATATTAACATGTATATCTAAGTGGTTCTTTATCGGAGTTCTAATTGCACATTGTCTCTCTGGGTCTGTTGAAATCTCTAGTGTCAGAGGGACTCACCAAAGCATATATCTAAGGGATCGAAACCATTAATACCGATTTTGAATTCCCTAAGTATCTTCCAAAATTTGCTTCTGTTCCACTCTTTTCAGTCACGGTCATATTATAATTTCCTTTTTATCACAAACCCTATATATACATCTTCAACACCCACGACCACCAGGCTGCCAGATCCCGGTCAGGGCAATGGCTTTTGCTGCCTTCGTGCTCCAGCTGAGCAAATGAGCTACATTCCCCAGCTGCTTAACAAATACTGTTCACATGCAGCGAGGGGAGGGCCTCAGCAGAAGGAGCCAGCTGGCAAACACCCTGCCAAGGGGCAGGTCCCTTTGCCTCTGCCTTTAATTAAGAGATGGCAATGGGCCCATCACCATGCAGGAGCAGAGAGGCCCAATGACCTCTATTAGAGCAGGGCAGTGGCAGGTAGTAATACCAGTTGGCAAATGCAGGAGCCCTGGAAAGCTCTGCCACCTGTGTCTGGCCAAGAGCCATCCAATAAAATGGTGGTGTCATTCTGAGGGTTCAAAATGAGCTCGGGAAACCTATCAGGACCCCCACCTCAATACATGCTATAAAAGCTCATTATCCTTTTCTTCTTTTTCCTTTGTTTTTTTTTTTTTTTCCCCGAAAGTGTTAAAAAAAACTTTCATGTATTTTGTTGGTATGCTCAATAATTTTGCTTGGCAAAAAGTTCTGGGAGTTAATATTTTCACTGTAAAAAGGGAAACACTGACCAAGAGACGTTAATAACTTCCCCCAAATAATATATAAAGGTTTTGCTGCTTTTAATAAATGTAAATGGACAACTTGCTCTTCATTTACTGAAACTATATATAGAAATATTTTCCTAAGTTGTTTTTTCTTATGTTGAGTTATACAGATAATAGAATGCATTAACACGGCATTAAATATAAGATACTAAATGTAAAACTAAATTTCATGAACTAAGTATAGAACTATGAAGAAAATAATTCCACAACATGGATAAAATTCATTAGAAGGAATATTAAGAGAAAAGGACTTTGCCTACCACTTGTTGAAAAACTCTTTGTTTAACAGAAGCAGCAACTTAGAGAAAAAAAGAAAAAATAATTATAAATCCTTGCTTTTATTGAGTATTACTCAAGCACATGCTGGTAATAGTAAAAACAATGAAAGATTACTCATAAGGGGAAAAAATAGGATAATTTCATTGGAAACAAAAAAGAAAACCAGACATTGGTCCAGCTAGTTGCTTCAGGGGAAGAAAAACCATACAAAAAAATAATGACTTTTCAAATTTTAGTCTTCTTGCTGTTGAACTTCATCTACAATGTATATTCAAAAATAGAGTTTCGGTGAATAGTTTAAAAAAATTTTTTTTAAATACTCCCTTCTTTAATTAATTAATCAATTAATTAATGAATTTTTAAAGATTTTATTTATTTATTTGACAGAGAGAAACACAGCAGGAGAGGGAACACAAGCAGGGGGGGTGGGAGAGGGAGAAGCAGTCTTCCCGCTGAGCAGGGAGCCTGATGTGGGACTCGATCCCAAGAGCTGGGATCATGACCTAGGCTGAAGGCAGATGCTTAATGACTGAGCCACCCAGGTGCCCCTAATTTATTTTTTTAAGGTAGGCTCAATACCCAATTTGGGGCTCAAACTCACAACCCCAAGATCAAGAGTTGTGTGCTTCACTGACTAAGCCAGCCAGCGCCCCTGGTGCATCATTATTTTTAAATGTCATTATGCATTTCAACTTCTTTTGAAATAAACTTCAATTACAGTAAAAACTTGAAACTCAGAATATTTATAAAAATCAGTCTGTTATATCATCTATCTATCTATCTATCTATCTATCTATCTATCTATCTTTATCTCCTGCTTTTCATTAGTATACAGTAATAAAATTTGCAAAAAAAAATAAATAAGGATGTAAACCTTAATTTAACAAATTATTTTTGGATAGAGCCTGTGTTTAGATTGTAGATCTCTAGAATTTAAAATACAATTTGGACTACTACTCCCAGAGAAACAAGAATCAGTGAGGAATATTAATGACACAACATTTTACTTGATTTGTCTTATTTTTTATAATAAATACTGTAAACCATATCCCAATATAGTTTTTTTTTTAAAAGATTTTATTTTTAAGTAATCTTTACACCCAACGTGGGTCTTGAACTCATAATCCCAAGATCGAGAGTTGCATGCTCCACTGACTGAGCCAGCCAGGTGCCCCTATACCAACAAAGTTTTGTCTCATAGATATTCTCTTAGGACATTCTTGGTGAATAACGTATTTGATAATATATATTTTTTTTTATGAAATAGAAGTATCTTCATTTATGTTCCCTAATGATCCAATAGTTATTTGTGATGCTACCAGCAAGTCATTCCTAGGAGGATTACTAAGTAATCCTTCAAAAGTAATAATTTACTATTTATTCATCTATTTATAAAATCAATATAAGAACATTGTACAGGCATTCAAAACCTAGGAAGGATATGTAAACATCCCCACTGTCCCCCTTTCCCCACCCACTACTGTTTTACTCTCTATCACTATCTTTACACAGGTAATGGTTAAATCAATGAATAAAAGAAGCAATTAAAAAATCTCTATGATGCTGTGCATTAATTTAATGTGTTTCAATGTATTTACCTATACTCTTTCATCTACGCATATACACAAAATGTTGAATTTTTAAATAACTTTCATTAATAGAATATAAGTATTTTTCCAGATATTTTTGCATTAGTACAAGGAGAACCATTTATTCCCTCTCCTCTCTTTTCCAATGTCCTAGCATGGACAGTTTCTCTGGGATTGCAAAGTAAGTCTTTAACTTCTTCCTACCCTCTTCAGTATTCCCTCTAAGAGAAGGAGTGATGCCTCCATGAGTTTAGGGAAAGCAATTTAGTACATGTGGCTGAGTCCTTTCCTTTTTTGGGGGGATCTGCTTCTCTGCATATGTTTGTGATGTTTTCTGCTCCTACTTTCATAGGATACATACTCTTGAGTCAGAGCTTCTTACCCACCAGTGAGAGTCTGGTTTGAGCACGCTTCTATCTTTTTCTCCTCTACTAGAAGTCAGGTTGTTCTAAGTAGTGTAAGTCATTCAGATCCAGACTGTATAAAAATCAAAGTAAAATGTGGGTGGGAGATATAGGAAGACCTATGGTAACTGCATATCTAAGCTATATGCTATAGTTCCACTTTAGAGATTTAAGTTCACCTTTATTTTCCATCTGTATTATTTCTTTATCAATAGCTCACTTGGTTGTGGATTCAGAAAAAAGGAAAAGGAATAATTGTTGCCTTTAGACCTCAACAACTATTATGGCAAAACATGCAAGAGTGGGCCTAAGAGACAACTCAGGAAAGAAGAAATTGAGAAAATGTAGGAAATGTGAGGTCTACTTTTCTGATGTTATGCCTTCTAATTTTAAAATACAATTTATAATACAGTATTAGGTTTTTGATATGGATTTTAAAAATTATGCTTTATATTCACATCTTATCTACCCATTCCTCTTTAAGAGCATAGGTATTATGCAGGGTTAATGGCTATAACCATATGTGTTTTTCCTTGTAGTACACTGCAGTCAGTACTGAAGGTCAAGAACTTAAGTGTTTACACTTTCAAAATGTCCTATGACTTCATCTTTTAATGCTGTGAAACCTAGTTAAGCTTATGTTAGACTATAGGGCACTAGTCCGACAGCACAAACCATTTGGCAGCAGAAGAACACGGATAGAGTGCTCCCTCTACATTTCTAGCCTCCCTAATCATGACTGCAGAATCAATTGTCATTGATTTACACATAAAATTGCAACATGCTTTTCTAAAAACTGGGTAATTGCAGTTGCTAAAATGAAAAAAAGAAGAAGAAGAAAGGACATTCTTTATTCTATTACTCTCACCTTTTCAAAATATTTGATTTCATACTCCAAGATGATTCCATTCGGACGATCTGGCTCTTGCCAAGACAAAGAGATGCTGTTTTTTGCAATCTTCCCCTTTTTCACATTGGTGACTGGAGAGGGAGCTGCAAAATAGTGTAAATAAAGGGTAGCATGATTAACAGAGCCCTGAAAATACAATGAGATATAATGTAGTGTAATTATTACGTTAACAATTTAACAAGAACTACATTAACAATTAAATTTTCCTTTACCCTGAAAATTTTACTTTCCTTTATGTAATAAAAAAGTTCTACAGATTGTAAAGTGTTTTACAAATATAAATCAAGTATCCTGAGAATTTTCTTAAAACTAGAGTCACATAGAATCTTAAGTATATATTTTCTCTATAAAGTTTAGAAACATAAATTAACTATCTTACTTTTCTTATAGAATAAAGACATTCCTGATGACCTTATATATCTTCCATGCTTCTAAAGTTATTGACACTGCATAATATATATCCCATTATGCTAGTACACACGATTATCTATATTACCATATTTTCGCAACATTTTGGCTCTTTTAATTTTTTTAATCATGTGGGTCCTATAATCATTCATAAAATCATCAGTTAAAGATAGTGGGGATTGCCTTAAAAATTATATCATTAAACTTGTGGTATTTCTTGAAAACAATAGCAGATAAAATAAACATTTTCCTAATCTGAAAGTTTTTCCTCTAAGATAAGGAACAAGAAAAGGATGTCCACTCCCACAACTTTTATTAAATATAGTATTAGAAGTCCTAGCCACAACAATTAGGCAAGAAAAAGATATAAAAGACATCCAAATTGGAAAAAAGTAAAAGTGTCATTATTTGCAGATAACATGATACTATATATATAAAAAGCTAAAGACTCTACCAAAAAAGCTACCAAAATTAATAAATTATTTTAATCAAGTTGCAGGATACAAAATTAATATACAGAAATCTGTTGTGTTTCTATACACTAATAATGAACTAACAGAAATAGAAATTAAGAGAACGATCACATTTACAAATACATTAAAAAGGATAAATACCTAGGAATAAATCTAACCAAAGAGGTGAAAGACCTGTATTCTGAAAACTATAAGACACTGAAGAAAGAAATTGAATACAACACAAATAAATGGAAAGATATGCTATGCTAATGGGTTGGAGGAATTAATATTTTTAAAATGTCCATACCACCCAAAGCAATCTACAGATTCAGTGTAATCCCTACCAAATTACTAATGGCATTTTTTGTAGAACTTTAGCAAATAATCCTAAAGTGTATACAGAATCACAAAAGAACCCAAATAGCCAAAGCAGTCTTGAAAAAGAATAACAGAGCTGGGAGTATCACACTACTTGATTTCAAACTACATTTCTAGGCTATAGTGATCAAAACAGTATGATATCGGAAGAAAAACAGACACATAGATCTATGGAATGGGCTAGAATAGAAAGTTCAGATGTAAACCCACACATATATGGCCAATTAATTTATGACAAATGAAGGAAGAACATACAGTGGGGAAAGAACAGTCTTTTCAATAAATAATGCTCATAAAATTGGACAGTCACATGTGAAAGGATGAAACTGAACTATTATCTTATGCTATACATCAAAATTAATTTAAAATGAATCAAAGACTTGAATATAAGATTGGAAACATAAAACTCCTATGAGAAAAAATAGACAGTAATCTCTTTGATACTGTTCTTAGTGATATTTTTTTTTAGATATGTCTCCTCTGGCAAAAGCAACAAAAGTAAAAATGTAAAAAAATGGGACTGCATCAAACTAAACTTTGCACAGTAAAGGAAATCATTGACAAAATGAAAAGGCAACCTATTGAATACGAGAAGATACTTGCAAACCATATTATCTCATAAGAGGTTGATATCCACAATATATAAAGAATTCATACAACTCAATAAGAAAAAAAAAACGATTTAAAAAATGGGCAAAGGATCTGAATAATTTTTCCAGAGAAGACACATAGATAGTCAACAGGCATATGAAAAGATGCTCAACGTCACTAATCATCAGAAAAATGCAAATCAAAACCACAATGAGACACCACCTCATACCTGTCAGAATGACTATTATCAAAAAGACAAGAAATAAGTATTGGCAAGGATGTGAAAAAAAGGGAACCCTTGTGCACTGTTGGTGGAAAAATTGGTCCAGCTGCTGTGAAAGCAAAATGGATTCCTCAAAAAATTAAAAATAGAACTACTATAAGATCTAGCAATTCCTCTTCTGGGTATCTTTCCAAAAAATAATGAAAACACTACTTTGAAAAGATACGTGTACCCCTATGTTTGTTGCAGCGTTATTTATAATAGCCAAGACATGGAAGCAACCGAAGTGTCCATCAATAGATGAACAGATATAAAAGATGTTGTATATACTTATGCGATATATATGGTATGTACCTGTATACATACACACACATACACACACCCACACATACACATACACACAATGGGATATTACTCAGCCACAAAAAAATGAAATCTTTTGACAACGTGGATGGATCTAATAGGTAGTATACGAAGTGAAATAAGTCTGACAGAGAAAGACATATGATTTCACTTATATGTGGAGCTAAAAAAAGCAAAACAAACAAACAAAACAGAAACAGACTCACAGATACTGAAAATAACCTAGTTGTTGCCAGAGAGCTGGAGGGGGAGACAGGTGAAACAGGAGAAGGGGATTAAGAGGTATCAACTTACAGTTATAAAATAAATAAGTTATAGGGATGTAATGGACAGCATAAGGAATAGAATCAATAATATTGCAACAATTTCGTATGGTGACAGATGATAACGACCTATCGTAGTGATCATTTTGTAATGTATAAAAAATATTTACTCATTATCTTGTGCACCTGAAACTAAAATAATATTGCATGTCAGTTATTGTTTAATAAAAAAAGAAACATTTTCCTTCAGTTCCATCTCCCCCAAATATTTTTTTAGAAGTCACAAATACTTATCATGTTCATTGCTATCTGTCAGTGCCCATTGAATGACTTTTCTGATGAAAATAGAAAAAAAATCTATGCTATTTTAATGTGTCTGGATTCCAAACATATGGATATTTGGTTCAACATCCATTTTGTCAATCTGTAGAGATATGTATAGATTCTGGGTTTGACAATACAAATATGTGTTGATTAATATTTTTCTTGATGTAGATGATCTTTATTTTTACAATTTTTAGCTTTGATTAGGAGAGATCATCGTGGACTAATGGAAGGAGTGTCTGTGTGTGTGTGTGTGTGTGTAGAGAGAGAAATCATGTATATTATATGATATGTATATGATATGTATATAATATGTATATTATAATGCACATATAAGAAGGTAGAAAAGATGCCTGTGATAGTGAATAGTGTATAACCAGTGAAAAGTGTATAGCCCTATCTGAACAGTATTAAACATGCGGAGAGATTAATTAATATATATATATATATATATATATAATATACGTAATTTATAACTTATATGTAGAATGTATATATATTACATAACATTATATATATATGCATATAATTTATTCACTCAAGAGTAGAAGACAAATCCAGAATTACATACAAAGATCAACATCGTCTGGCACCCTGCATCTTTTCTTACTTTACCTCCTGCTAACTGTGCCCTGGCTTTTTGTTCTTAGGGCACTTAAGACACACTTCTGCTGAAGACCTTTGTACAAGCATTCTAACATTCAGAGGTGCTTCTCACCCTGACTTCTCCACGACTCTCTCCCTCTCCTGTGGTTTTTCTCACTGAGACCTTTTCTGTCCACGCTATGACTGAAATAACCAATTCCCACCCTTCCCCTCTCTCCTCACCATACCCTCTGCTCCTCTGGGGTTTTATTTTTCTCCTTAGCTCTTGCCCTTGCACTACCTGATACACATATCTGAATGTAGATTTGCTTTTTTCAATCCTCTCAAGTAGAATGTAATTTTTATGAGGACAGGGATATTGTTTATTCTAGTCACTGCTGAATTTCTAGATCTAAAACAATGCCTGGGACAGGGACAGAGGAGGGTCCAATAAATATGTATGGAATGAATGGCTGGTAAAAATCAAAGTAATACATACAAAAACTTAAACCTTTTAAAATAAAAATTATTTTGTCAACAAAATTAACTACGAAACTCAAGGTTTAAGTATGTCTTTCAATAAAATTAAATAGAAACAGATATGATCTGTAGGAGAGAAAAATAAGCTGTCTAGTGTTTTATATACCCATAATAGGGTGATAATGACTTTGGTACTTCAATGTGTACTCTTATTGTTTCAATCACAGAGCTTTGTGATACTCAGGCTCAGAGGGCTCATATTTTCAGCCTTATCTTGTTTTCTTAAACATGTCCAGTTCCTCAGAATTTTCTGCAGTACTACAGAACACACAGTGTGCATATAGAACCAAATTGTCTAGAAGTATTTGAAATGGCATTTTGTTTACCTCCATGAAATTGTCATTGACTGGTAGTTCTCACAGTCATATTTTGAGATAGGTTCAAAGTCCCTTTTGATTTCCTAGTGAGGGAAAAGTCATGCCATATTTGCCACTATGGACAAAGCATCAAGAAGACATGGAAACAAGAAAGAACTAGCTATGGGCCCCATAGTTCATACAGTATTTATAGCAAAGTAGCAAATACACTCAAGTAGAAACAGTAACAAGTTGATGGTAGTGCCACTTTTCTATTCATAAATTGAATTTAACATGTATCCTCCATGAAGGTAGGAATTAATTTGATTTAGTTCACTGCTGTAAAAAAATTACCAGAAAATTACTTGGTATCTAGAAATTTAAGAAATATTTGCTGAATGGATGCATGAATGAATGGGAAATATATACATTATGTATCACTCAAAACTGAGTTTGTCTCATAAGTGCATAGAGTAGGATCTTATTATTTAGAGATTTGTGTTTTATTTTAAAACTTAATTCTTTGGGGCACCTGGGTGGCTCAGTCAGTTAAGCATCTGCCCTTTGTCTCAGGTCATGCTATGGATCCTGGGGTCCTGGGATTGAGCCCTGCATTGGGCTTCCTGCTAAGTGGGGAGTCTCCTTCTCCCTCTGCCC